CTACTACTACTACTACTACTCCTTGTTACTACGTTTAGTTAGTACTACTTGCTGATACTAACACTGCTACCAAGACTGGTCGGTCAATTACTGTCTTTTTGTGGCCGACCGTGGCAGCGATTGAGAAATTTGGGCGGCACCTGAAAGGAAACCTTGGCTTGCTCGTGCCGGTGAGAAAGGTCCAGCGCCTGCAGCGGAGTGGCTTGTGAGCGGCTCACATTCGTCAAGTCACTTCGGTTTCACGTTGTTGAGCCAGTGCTCACTCGCACTAATGCTAAATATGACTATTTTATGGTATTTCCGTTGCTATTGTCATGACAACTTCTGCACCAATATTATTCTGGGGGTTCCTGATTATAAGTATAGTATGATGGGCCTCAAGACCCGATTCTAACTATGATTAAGGCTATGAGCAAAATCCGAGCGACCACAAATTGGATTTCATTTCTACTTTGCCCCTTTCTGCCTCGGCGGCCAGGGACTCGGCCTTCGCCTCCAGGCGCTCCACCTGCGCTTGGGTTTCCGAATCGTCTTTTAAAGTTAAGGGTTTAGAGCTTAGGGTTTAGACTTTAGGAACTTTAAGGTCTGCTCATCTCCACTCCAGGTTTGCTGAGTCAAAGCGACTTTCGGGCTGCAAGCTGCTGTTGCACTGCCCAAGGTGCAATAGCAGCCCTGTTCATCCTTTTGCTTCAGACGTCTCTTCCCTCCACGGGAGATCCTAAGCAGGCGGCTCTCTCCCCCACTCCTGAGCATGTTTGCTGTGTTAGGTCTAGGTCATGAGAGGTCATGGTGGGTGGAGGGAAACCGCGGGATATGGCTTCCCAAGCTGTTGTTGTGAAGCGAGGTGCCAAAGACATCCAAACAGTACGCCGAGAACTTGAAAATCAGGAACGATCTATGTTATACAAAACTCTGTCTCCGAGCTGCCTTTGCAGCTCGAGTCGAGACAAACACGCGTTGAGGAATACCGCTCATCGTGCTGTTCACTCGTGGAGCCAGGGCAGATTGTCGAAGCTGATATCCTGGTGTCGACACTAGCCTTCGCTTCTTACAATCCCCAGTGCGCCTTATGACAAGCTGAAGACGACGCAACGTAGCTAGGACCGCCTAAGATAATGACCTCATCCTCGTGCAGACGTCCACAATATGCGTAGCCAGCTTCTTTCCAAATGCAGCTCGGTCGCGATAACTCCACCGGCTCTTGGCAAGATAGGGTTGGTTGGAACACCCTGAACCTGAAGCAGCATGTGGAGGCGTAGAACGGCAATCGCATCAGCGTGAATGTTGGGCTCTGCTACACGAGATTGTGGCAAGGAACGAGCTTGTCGGTGCAACCGACGGCGTGGGTCCACCACACGCCGCTGGGATAAGCAGGCTGGTTTTTGATGTGGCCACCTGGAAAACAGAGCATGTCAAACAGGACTTCGTTCAGGAGACTTGCCAGCGCGAACGGCGCGAACGTCAAAGCTGCTTCAAGGCAAAGCTCAGCTGTAGGTGTTCGCCGGGAAGTTCGGGTTTCCGAGCACTGCGCTGCAGTCCTGGCGATGGCTGGAGATGTGCGGGCGAACAAGCCAGCACTGATATCTGAAGCAGCAAGGCATGTAGCTTGTGATAGCTTCGCTCGATGATGTATGAGCTCTGGAGACCAAGATGCGAAGCAGACGTGGCCCCGACGGGGCAAGACAAACAGGTTCCGCTCAAAAGCTCCCATGCGTTCCTTATGCTTGTTCGGTTACCTGAGCGTATGCAAAACTGGTGGAGAGGCGACTGGAACAGTTGAAAATGGCCACTGCAACATAAGGCCTTTGTTCCAGACAAGGTTTGCTTGAGCTGCTTGGCAGACGGTGGTGCTACGAGTGAAGGAAAGGACATGTTCAGAGACTTTCTCACCCTGAGTGGTCGCAGTCATGGAAAGGCGTGCTCCTCGCTGGGCTGGTCACTAGCGCCATAGCCGCAGGTCGCATCAATGCACTTCCATTCCTTGGGAGCCCCAGGCTCAAGCATGGCAAAACGGGTTGGGGTAATGGAGTCTTTGAAGGATCAGCTGCCGGTGCTTCAGAATGAAACATAGCAGCAGCTTCGCCAAGCTTCATCCATGGCCCAGCAGTAGGTCTCAGCATTGTTTGCCTAAGTCCCCACGAAAAGCCCGAACGGATGCTCAAAGCTTGGAGGTCTGGGTCGTCCTGCCAAATGCGCAAATGCGGCCGGCATGTATGACCGCCAGTGCATGCATCTGAAAAGTGCTGATCGGCCTAATTTTCGTGGGTTGGCCCGGATGGTGCAAATGTCAATGGCATGGCTGGGCTGCACTTGTGTCCAGCATGGCAATTCCAGGACAGCCAAACAACCGAACATGGCAAAGGCGCATAGAGCCAGCCGCAATAGCTCTCCGAGGTCTCATAGCTTTTAGCATACCACTGACGACAGCGGTGCTGACCTCTGCAAGATGATAAGGAAGTGCGAGTACCCAGGCCCAGCCCAGAGAGCAGGAAAAAGATGCTTTAACAAGAAAACACCATGTCGATCGAGCGACCGCAAGGGTTGTCGGCCAGGGATCCGGGGCAGCCAGTGTAGCAAGCATCCTGAACTAGCTCGATTGTAAATACTTCGCAGCTTGGGCCTCTTCTGCAGATTGCCTATTTACGTCCAATACACTATCAACTTTATGCGAAGGCATCGGGCTTGTCTTTGATATGCATTGCGTAACACCTGAAGTATTTGGGAACTCTCTTGGGAAATCTCGCGGCATTGTCGTCCTGAACTGCTGACAGCTGAGCCTCATTGAATGCTGCAACCCAGAACCAGTACCGGACAAAACGCTCCAATGAGCTTGATCTGTGACTGCCAAGCGTCCGTATTGCAGCTTGGGTTTTCCGGCGAGAAGACGGGGCAGTTGCATTCGCCATAGACGTGCCTTACAGTGTGCGGACAACACCATTTCTCAAAGATGATGATCAACACTGACCATCAACAACATCATGAGAATTAATATCATATTCCTCATCATCCCAGCAGCATCACCCTCACCTTCACTTCAGCCTGTCATGATCCACAACAGCATCGTCATCACCGTCATCGTCATCGTCACCGTCATCAGCATCGTCATCATCACCATCATCATCAGCATCATCTTCTTCTTCATCATCATCATCATCATCGCCATGACCTCCTCAGCTCCTCGTTCTCCTTCTCCTCATCATCTTCTTCTTCGTCTTCATCATCACAGCAGCACCGGCAGTACAGCCTTCGCCCGGTGATGAAAATCACGATCATCATCAACGTCATAACAACCTTTGTCAAATTGTCGTCAGCTGCCAACTTCATTTCAGTACCGTGTAATGGTTCTCAGCATCATTCCATGCAATAGTTTCTGGGAAGTCGGATCCGCCTGACATTCTCTATCGACGGATGAGGTGCTTGTCAGCCAGAACTGTAGGGAAGCCAATGCCAGGAGCAGGCTGGATCTTCAAGAGAGATCCGGTGAATTTGCCAGGCAAGGCAACCACATCCTCAGCACATCTTTGGGATTTGGCCGCCAGAGGCCCGCTCAAGTCATGTTCCAGTGCAGACGACGACCACGACGTCTGCTGTTCTAAACGACTGGCATCCACTGGCCAAGCAGGTCGTCATGTTTTGGCCCAGCAGCGGTCTTCTTTCCATTGCCATCTGTGTAATTCATGGTGACACCTCCAGACACTCCTTCTACCGAGGTGAGATCCCAGGACACGACAGTGGTAATCCTTGGAGCCATGTCGGTAAGAACGAAAATTGCGTTCTGCCTGCACTCACTCGAATCTCTGCTGCTGCTCCGAGATTCGTGAACTCGACTTGGCTCTGGTATTGAGGTCCCATGGACAGCCTTGGAATTGTACAGTACCGCTTTGGTACTGTGAGACGTGAGACCGACGGGGGCCGTTCTGGAAATGCATCTTGCAAATGGCTGCATGAAGCTACACGCCCCCTAATCCTGTGTTGGATCCAGATACACTGCACTATGCATCAAACCTTTCCAAGCTCGCTTTGACGCTCGCGGTTCACCCTCAAGGTTTAAAACGAATCTCCTCACTCTTTAAGATTGGGCAGCAAGTGGCGAGTGCTGCTGATTCGATGCGATATCCTGGAACCAGCATGTGCCGGAAGGCCAGTTTCCACCTTCACCGAAGAAGAGATCGATCCTTAGCTGATCCACGTGCAAGAAGCTTGAATCTGCGGGATCGGTGACCGCAAGTGTTCCACACTGTGCAAGAACTGTAGTGACCTGCGTGCACCGTCCTGCCAAGCAGGAATACCTGGCTCCCAGGCCACGAACCCCTGAAACAGAGTCAACATCCCTGGGCATGATGTACCTGCAGAACTCTTCTGGACCTTCCCATAGCTGCCCGCTTCCTGTGCCAGCTTAGCCAAGCTTAGCCAATTGCTCCCAAGGCAGCCGAGAAAGTCGGCCAATGCAAAGGAGCACCGTGAGGGTTGATAAGGCTCATTTTAAGGCCAAATTCGGGTTACTATAGGGCTTAATAAGGGTTATTTTAAGGGTTGCCATCAGGGTTGCTACAAAACTTGAAACATCCATACACATTGAGAAGCTCAGTTACTTGGACTGCAAGCCGACCCCATCAAAACAAGGGAGACGTGGCTTCCTCCCATCCAAGGGTCGACTCGCCCTTCTTGAGGCCCATGCACAGGGTCGTCAGATCTGGGACCTTTTCGGATCACGTCAGCACTCTCAAATGCAGCGATCCAACGTGTGAAACTGTGGTGGTTCACGCTTCGACCTCTGCACATTGCAACGTCAACAACAAGCGCTCTGCAGGGGTGACATGCTGGGGCTGTCTTCGTGTGTGTTTAGGTTACAAAATGGTCTTTCTTGGCCAAAGTGCACCACTTCCATACTGGTCGTTCCCAGTTCCCTGCAGCAGGACATGGTCACAGCCCTTTGCATTGCCGTGTGCTGTAGGATGAGTAACTTTTTTGCAGCCTACAGATTCTGTAAAGATACGGGCTACATCAGACTTAGCAGTTAGCAGCAAGCAAAGCTTCGTTTTCAAGACATGCACTCTTACTACAAGACCGTCGGTTGCCGCCGAGCAGGCAGCCTCGGAGCAATCCACAGGTGAATTGCGGACGCTTTGGGTCAACGCCGCATCCAGATAGACCGTGCCTTGCAGCAAAGTGCAGAACGGTATCCACTTGCGACATCTTGTAAGATACACACATACACACGTTCTGGACATCTGCTGTATGAAATGCCCTGCATCCACAAGCCTCCATTGCGGATGGGGCACTCAGCGCATCTTGCGGACCACGGCAGAACACCACGCCATCAGACCACTCCTTGTTGACGATGCGCATCGTCAAAGATGCCTGAAGTGCAAGAAGACATGTGAGCGTTCGAACCCAGAAGGCTGGCCGCTCTTCTTGCATCTCGGAGGCGGCGGTGTCGGGTGGAGGAGAAGGGGCAGGAGCTGGAGCTGGAGGAGCTGGCGGGCTTGGTGCCTGAGGCTGAGGCGAAGGCATGATGCTGCAAGGACCCTTAAATATTAAAGGATCCCTAAAAGTGAACGCCTCCCTGCCCAGAGTTCCAGCAGAGATGCCGGGGCTGGGGCCGGGGTGTCACCTGACACGCAGTCCTCCACTTTCACCGGGTCGCCGCCTCAACTCCGAGCGACTGCTCTTGGCTCCCAGAACTCGGCGCGAGAGCTTCGGATTAGGCTGTGAAGCTTGCACTGGCCAAGTCGCAACCAGTGAAGTCCGGAGAAGCAGATGGGCAAATGACCGAGGGACCCCCGGGTTGAACTGGGGGGCAGCATTGGTTTCCAGCCTCGCGCTGCGCTGCGTGTCGTACTTCTGGCTCTTGCTTGCTTGCTTCAAGCCATGGAGAGAAGGATAATCTCTGTCTCTTTCACTCTCTTCTTCGATGGAGGGTCGACGACAGTCTCCCCCCTTTCAGTCTCTCTGTCTCTGTCTGTCTCTGTCTCTGTCTCTGTCTCTGTCTCTGTCTCTGTCTCTGTCTCTGTCTGTCTCTGTCTGTCTGTCTGTCTGTCTGTCTGTCTGTCTGTCTGTCTGTCTGTCTGTCTGTCTGTCTGTC